TCTCTTCCACTTGTAGCTCCCAGTTTCCTCCTTTTCTCACTTCAGCAAAGAGAGACGGCCACTTGAGAGTAACACTCCTCTCTTTCCTCCCTCCCTTCTTGAAAACTCCCCACTGTTGTTGCCCTCTAAATCTCTGCTGGCAGACAATGCAGAGAGCAAGTGGAGGCAAACAGATCTCCTCACCATCCCCCACTGGAGCTGCTGCTGTCACACCTCCAAATGATGGTTGGCAGGCTAAAGTATAAGAATTAAAAAGACTGGGAGGGAAGTGGTGGGAGAGGCAGCTCCTGAAGGCCACGGGACAAAGGAAGCGCTCGTGATAGGAGGAGAACATTTTTGGTGATCTGTCCTTAATACCAGGTTTGGGGACAGTGGCAGTGGGTGAGGAGCAGAGAGAGGAAAGACAGAGACAAAAGAGGGAGCCCAGCCAGACACACCGATCGGGGGCTCCCGTGGGGACCACTGGGTGTCTGTGTCTACTTAAAACACACCAAGTGCTGAAAATAAATAGTATTATGCAACTCAGACAGATTGTTTTGGCTTCAGAGAAACCACAGAAATAGATATGATGAATACGAGGTCCAACAGCCACAGCTCTTTAATTAGCAGCTCATTATTTCCTCTCTTTGCATTTTTTCCTCATTTGGCTCAAACTAAGACCAACAGTTTTTTATACAACATGACTCGACAGAATCAATTTTTGAGACATCACTTAGTTTTTAGGACATTAATAAACAAATTGTTACGTATCTTAAAAAGATACAGCTGACAGGTGAACACTAAGGTAGGGAGTGACAGTTTGCAACAGGAGGGGGCAGTTAGCGAGAGGCTAATTCCAGGAAGCTGGTGAGTACGATCAGGTGAGGAAGTGCAGTGAACAGTGAACACACAGTAAAAGGTGCAGGAAACGTAAAACAAGAGTTACTTAGAGAGCAAGACACACCAAGAGCTTCTTGACCACATGGACCGAGCAAACACTGACTCCTCGTGGAGCTGGGCCTTAAATCCTGATTGGGCGGACACGCCCTCAGGTGCGCTGCTCGTCAGCCCTGAAATCAACGCAGCTGTGAAATAAGAACACAGGCTGATGTTCGTGCTCACATACAAACATGTACACACAAACAAACACAAACAAAACACACACCTCCTGATCTAACTGGTAAAACTGCCAGAATATCTACATACCTGTGAACTACATAAATAAAACTGAATTATTTGGATTAATTATACAGACTTTCCTGAAGAATTATACAGACCAAGACCAGGTGAGTAAATAAAGATTGCATGAATAACAGCTAAGGTGGAGTTAAAGAGTTGGTTTTCTTCTCTTTAAAAATCGAATCAGTTCGATAAAAAGTCCCATCATTTCTTTAAGGTCACCGGCCGTCCCGTACTCCAGAGCTACATCAGTGAGGACTTGGACTAATGAGGCAGACACTGAACTTCGTGCTCAGCCATTAATCACCAGCACTTAGTGAAACTCTAGCCTCCATTAGTGTTCCATTGTAGAGAGAGTAGCTGACACAAAGGAGGAGGATCAGTCCACGAGACACAACTCACTGCAGCCTCTAAAGTCTGAGCTTCTCTACGGCAGACGCGGAGTGTGGACATCTGCCTGGACCGTGTTCAGTCAACAGGGAGGTGGAAGGAGGAACCAAAATGAGATACAGAAGAGAGGAAAGGAAAGAAGGAAGGATGAGAGATGGGACAAAGAAAGGAAGAAAGAGAGGAGGAGAGGAGAGATGAAAGAAAGGAGGGGGAGGAATAATAAGAAAAAGAAGAAGAATAGAAGGAAACACTAACACAGGAGAACATCTCAGTTGACCAATGTTCCTGGTCTTCACCGAGGAACCAGGCCAGTCCGAGGGAGCCCTGAAAACCAGCCCTGGGTGACGAAGGCAGTATCAGTCAAACATTTATCAATTGTTATAAATAAAGGAACTCAATCTTCAGGGGTCGTCAGTAATAAAAAAACATCTGGGAATTCAAACTTCAGGAAACATTTTTCATTTTTCTGGTCCTTTCAAACATGGCTGCTATAAAGAAATCCCAGCAACCCTTGCATTTCCTCTGGATTCTAAAAAATAACCCCGTGAATTTGAATTGTTGTTGGTGTTCTACTGAAGTATCCGAACAATGTGTGCTCTGAGACTTTAGTTCTGCTTCCTGTGTGTGTTTTTGTGTAAAGGAAAGTGAGGCAGGAGCCTTCTTCTTCTTCTTCTTCTTCTTCTTCTTCTTCTTCTTCTTCTTCTCGTGACCTTGACCATTGCTGGCAGCGGCAACCAAAATATAACTTCAAAACAGACTGTTGACATCCTGGTCGGCTTCACTTTGAAGTGACTTCAAGAAAGTTTCACAGGTCAATAAAACACACACACACACACACACACACACACAGACATGCACAGTTCAATCCCCCCAAAATATTTTAAAACCATTCATGTGGAGAGACACGCAGAAGTTTTTGTCCTTAATATTTTGTTTAATTCTCTCAAAGTCACGAAACTTGACTGATTCTAATTCTATTTTTATTTTATGCAGTGAGAACAACAGTTACAGTTGCTCAGTGGAGCCGCGGAGTAAATGTGTCATATTGGGGGTGTGGTGCTGCCCAACGCGGGGGTGGGGGTGGGGGGCACTACTCTCACAATGTAAGTATCAAGTACTGAACAACTGACGTGACGTCATCTTATCTGTCAGTAAACTATTTTTGGCACCAAAACCCAGTGACACACTCTCATCATCCTCCGTCTGTCCGTCACTGGACCACTGCCACTCTATAACACACTCCTGCACTATGGAAACGTACTGGAGTACTTGAAGTACTTGAAGTACAGCCATGTTGTGTAAAATACTTGAATGTCATTCCACGGACTGAAACAGTGTGTAGTATGTGACACAAACGGATCATTGTTTCTGACTGTGAGTAACTGCAGTCCTACAGTGTTTCAGTTTCAGATCAGCAGAGATTTTCTACCTTTATCTTCCACTAAATCTTTTGTTGTTGTTGTTGTTAAATATATCAGTCATTGTGTAGATCCAACAAATTAGTAATGGACAATAAAACTCAAAGATTTATCAACCAACTTTTGTTTTAACTTCAACCTCCTGGCAGATTAGAACGGTCTCAACCAAGTCTTTCAAGCTCAGTTTTACGACGGTGAGGTTTAACGACGCATGTGTCGAAGCCACAGAGCAGCACTTCAGCCTGCCTTCTCCCTTCCTGAATCCCTGGCTCGTGGCGATAAGGAGGCTGAAGAGCTGTGTGTTTGTGTGTGTGTTTGTGTGTGTGTGTAAGTGACCACAGTTCTTCCCCTCTTTTTGCTGAGAATGCCAAGGAACTCTTTTCCATCATTTACAGGGCAGTGAACTGTTCTCACTGGAGTCTGATGGGGCTACAGCCCTTACCTGGTTAGGGTTGAGGGTGCAATTCCAGGACTTTGACTTCAAATTCCAACCCAGGGTAGATGAAAACCTGACCAAGTCATTTTGAGAAACTGTATCCCAGCAGAAGAAAGAACGCAGTCCCAGAATCACTTCTAAGCTTTTATTGTTCATATCAGGAACTCTGCCAGATAAAGTGCCGTTCATCACATTCTTCAATGTCAGGGCTACAGAGATGTTAGTACCGAGTATGGATGCTACGCCAAGCTCAACACGTAAATGATTTCAGAAAAAGTAGACAGATGAAGTAGACTGAAAAAAACAACAGCAGTTCAGCATTTATTCACCCAAACAAAAAAAAAAAGGTTTCTTTTAGATTTCTGGGCGTTCATAAAACCTTATTTTCAGTCATTTTATGTTTGGCTAAAAGGTTCCATTTTGAACTAGCTGAACTGAACAGCTCTGAATCAACATCATTTTGTTGACATTTAAATGAGACATCATTAGAACAGACAGAATGTGCATTAAACTGTCTGACAGCAGCTTCTTATTATAAGGCTTTTTCTCTAAGGACAACACAAAGACAAAGTGTTGGCCAAACAGGAATAAAAATGTCAAAAATATTCGCTCATCTGTCCGACCGAGGAAGAGGGTCAGCACACACTGTCACAGCGTGTGTGTTTTGCATATTTACTTGTGTGGTGTCTGAGAATATCGGAACAGTCAAGGCACGCTGGCTGTCCACAAGGTCGCCTGCTCGGTCACTAATGTCCAGTCCACGCTCGTGGGTGAAGACAAGTAAAGTGAAGACAAGTCTTTGGTGAGAAACGACAGTCACAACAAGACGTTAGTAAATGTTAACCACGCCAAATACGTATACGTGTATGAGTGTGTGGTCACTTCAACAGCATTAGACTTTACATTTATTCATCTTTTCAGTTCAGACGGTGGGATAAGTTGACACGACTCTGTTCATGCAGTTTGGATATAGTTTGTAGCGCAGCCGTATGTGTATATTTTCATCCAAGGCCGTATTTGTTCACTGTAAACGTAAAAAACCTGTTTTTACCACGACAGTTAGAAAGTAAAAGACGAAGCACGGATGAAACCTGGACTAATAAAAAAGATGTATTGATTTACAGTTTTTTTCCCGTTCCCTAAGTTACTAATTTTTGCTCCCCAGCTGTACAACAGAACATTATGATGGTAATTTGTTCTTTTTTCCGTTCCCTAAGTTATTTCTTTGCTCCCGAGCTGTAAAACAGAACATTATGATGGTAATTTGTTCTTTAGAACTCACTTTCATTTAATTTTCTTTATTTTCTGTACAGTTTAAACCCATGTTCCTGGGCAGCATTAACACATCTTCCTGATCAAACTCTTTTTTCATGGGTGAAAACACCAAAGGCACCGACTCTGTTTCTTTTCCCTGCTCTCCAAACACCACAGTATTTTAGCAAAAGTCCGTCGACGTCAAACTGTGCGATTATGCGACGTCATAGTGAGAAAAGCAGCAGCGACTCCGATCAAACTTTTGATTCACGGCACAAATCAAACTGATGGTGCATGGATTATGCATGGAATGACGTCATGCAAAAAGATGAAAAAAAATGATCTCCCTTTCTTAAAATACAGTTTTATTTGTGAATTTACACCAATTAGTAATACATCTATAAGCAACTCCATTAGATAACCATTTATATAGGATTTTCACAGGTCACAAAGTAGCTTGGCTCACACTGGCAGGCCCAAGCAAAAGTCTTTTTAAAAAAACAAGAAGGAGGAGAAGAAAAGAAACCGATGATAGAGGCATTAGTAAAGCAAGGTGCAAAAAGTTGGAAAACAGATGAGAAGAAAATAAAAGGGAAGCGACGCACATTCAGTTTATCTGGGAGCAAATATGTTATAAAACAGTTCATTAAAAAAAAAGGCTACGTCTCTGCAGACTACAAATAATAACTCGTACTGCAATAATAATGAAGAATGAAAAAAGACAAGACAGGAAGTATGAAAAAAAAACAAAACAGTTGGTGTCATTAGAACATAGTGCTAGAGTTGGGTTGCCAGTTGGAATCTGCCCTGACTCGACCAACCCACGTATGCACCCTCCTTCCTAAACTCACACCTTTCTGCTCCCTCACTCTGCTACGTGACCTCAAATCGCCTTGAGCCAAAAGCTATCATTTGTCCACCAACCTCCCCTCACCCCTAACCCCTCACCCCTCTCTCTCTCTGAATCCAGTCGTTCACATTGTTAGCTGGGATATTGATATATGGGACTCAGCTGCGTGGAGGGGTTTCAGCTGCAGCCAATCAAACTTTGGTTTTGCCGACTTCACCTGTAGGTCATCTGACAGTTGGAATATAAAATGTGTTTAGAGGAGAAATAATATCAGAGGAGGATTAAAAACTGCTTTAGGCAGGCTCACATCTGAGAGCTCAGATAAAAACATGACCACGTTCAACTGCCAGCTACAGGCACAGCGGCTGTGAAGAAAACCACCGGAAAACAGGAGAGGATTTTCAGGAGCCTGAGGAGATTTCAGATGCAGTCACTCGGGTGATTTTACAGAAGGTTCTTCATGCCCAGGCAGGAAGATGAGAAAAACAACCCTTGTCTTATTGTTTAAAAAAATAAAATTAAAAAGTCAGGGCGGGCAGGGGTGGGGGTCATATGACTAACACACAAAAGACACCACATGAACATGTCCCGACCCATGATTCTCATTTCCGTGACTGCACCGCGATCCTGGAGTACATTTAATTATTTCTACTTCTACATTGAAGAAGTACAAAAATAAATCCTCTACAGTGTCACCAATCCAACACCCTTCATCCCGTCTTCACTCCACTCACTTACCGACCCCCCCCCCCAGAAACACTTTTCACTGTATGATTCCTGCACCACTCCAACCAAATACTTCACAATCTCCTTCGCCGTGGCAACCACCTGCAGCAAACTCAGACACATACTATGAGAAAAGTGCAGCGCAGCAAAACATGACTACATATAGTTAAAAATCTATAGCCAGCATATCCAGTTTTCACATGTCATATAGTAAATGCGTCTACTCTGAAGGATAGGATAAAACATGGGCATCTGTATAAACGCATGCATAACATCTGACTTCAGGTCAGATCTTAGGAATAAGAACTAAACAGTGGACTAACGACACACTCGTCTGCACAGACAGAGGATCAGATTTCATGAGATGACAGACCAGACGCAAACAGAGATGATTTAGAAAAAGGAAAATAGTTTCGTGTTATTATTTCTTCCAGTTTGGCAACAAACACAAAGCTTGTGAGAAAATGCTACATAAAAAAATTCATGTCGAGGGTTGGCAGCATTTTCCCCCGAGGTGATGACAGACCATCGGTTCTCTCTCTACTGTCCAGTTACATCAGCCAGTAAAAACAGTTTCAGATTCCTGCACCTCAACAATCAGCTGCGAGAACATTTCTCTTTCCAGTACGACTGATTTTCTCCTGTTACAGGTGACAGGCCTGTGGAGCCTAAAGTAGGAAACTTTTACATCGGCCTTTGGAGTTTTACAACATTCGGGTTGCCATCCAATCATTTTATAAAACTGGATTTTGAAGCAAAAAAAAACACAAACAAAATTAAAATAAAGCAAACAAAAATGCCGTGTGTTTTCAAGTTCTGTTTCAAGAGCAGCCAGTTCTGCAGGTTGTAATCAGGCTGTAAGGATGATGTCATGCCATCGCAATGCAAAGGTGAAAGGGTGTCGACACCCAACACCCCTAAGACACACCCCGTCTTCTGCAGTTTCATTGGCTGACCCCCCAAGGATCTGTTTTTTCTTCTCTTCCCGTCCTTTGACTCACTCACATTTTTGATTTCCTCTGTGCTGCCTTTTCCACATAAAGAATTTTGTTAAAAATCTCAAATAAAAAACATAATATAGAACTATGAAGACAGTGACAAAGTAAAAACACAGACAGTTAGCAGAAAGCGTGGCCAGTTGCCCCTCTTTCTTCTTAATATGCCCAGTATTTCCTGCCTGCTCTGCCCCCCCCACCTGCATGTTTAACTCTAGGCCTCCGTCTTCTCTTTCTTCTTGTTCTTCTTCAGGAAGGATGGTGTGCGGAACTTCTTCTTTTTCTTGGTGTTGGGGGACTTGGAGGGTGAGCTCTCCGGAGACAGCGTCTCCTCTATCTTATCTCCCGAGCGCACGCTTACTTCCATGCTCTCCACGCTGGTGGTCAGCTGACTGACCCGCTTGGACAGGTCCTCCTCCACATCAGTGTGGTTGTCTTTGCCGTTCATCAGGCCGGTGTGGTTCTCTGAGAGGAGGAGGACAGAACATTGGTTATATTGTGTGGTTCGTCTGGTTCTACCCGTCAGCGGAAACACTCTCCACAACCACCAGGATCTACTGCACATGACCTGCCTTATACGACAAAGAAAAAAACGTGTCTGTAAGAATAAAACCAGGGATATCTGATCATATCGACCCAGCGATGTTATTGGTCCCATGTTAGCATAATTATGTAATATCTGTAAGAATCATTGTCGTTTTTTTCTTCGATAATAAAAACGCGATAATACAATGCTTGGGTTCTGCCAAATGATGTGTGGCTTAAAAATCGTTTTGGGGAAAAACTGCAGTATATAAAAGTGAAAGTCCCTAGATGGCAGCATAGCAGCTCATTGTGTTAATCTATTTTAATAATCAGGGGATTGTATGCCAGGAACTCATACAGTGGTTTGTACAGATAAATAAAACCATAGAGTGTTAATAACAAATGGATGTAGTTTCCTTGTCTCACTGCGGCTGCATGGTGAGCCCATCATTTCGGTTTCTGCAGTAAGAGTTAGTGGACGCGTTACTGGAGTCTGTCTGATTCCCTCGCAGCTAAAGTGTGTTTCAAACAGCTGCTGACGTGGACACTCGCTGTCCCCGTGCTGCATATTTCATAACAGAGTGTGTGAAGACCCAGTGACCTGATAGCCCAGAGCCTGTCCTCCTTTCAGTTCAACAACAACAAAATAAAACGGCAAACAACACCCACCACCCTAATGGCAGCTCACACAACAGACCTACTAGTGTCATATCCCCTTTATCTGGGTCGCACAAGGAAGTTGCCCAGGGAATGAGGGCCGGTGGTTTTGTGTTACCACACTGGAAGACAAACACAGTGACAACTTCTCTTGACGACACAAAATAGATAAAAAGAGTGGCATAAAACAGAAGCCTTTAGAAGAATTGACCTGACCAGAAAATGTGGGTCGTCTGAGCCGATGTACTGTCATGTGTTAATAGTTGGGCTGTGACTCGTTGTGTTGGTTTTGTGTGTTTGTGCAAAAAGGAAGGCAGACAGGAAGTGAATCCCACTGTGACATCACTCACAGCCAACATCAGCTCTGCTGTCGTCGTCCGACTTCCTTGGCTTCAGACGTCAGCGGCAGCATCAGCACAGACGGGTGTTAATGTTGCCTGCTGTTCTTAAACCACGCTGGGACATTTAAAGTTTTTTTAAAATTGTTCTCCTGCCAAGTTCTGGAGGAGATGACTGTTATATTTTCATGTGTAACCTTCAACTGTGGACCAGCGGATGATGACCAGAGCCAGTCATCATACAGGGATTCAGACAACATTTTCTCTAGCCTCTTCGCTAACTCGCTTTTTAATAATAAATCATTTCTGAATCACTGATGTAAACTTTGAACATTTGACATTTAGGTGGTGGTAACAAAAGACATTTTTCTAATTTGCACTTTCCTAAATGAAAATTAAGTCTTTGAAAAAATTAGAACGTTTTTTTGGGAATAAAACTTACATGTGTTTGTAACATTATCCACCTGTTTTGACAAGACAATAACTAAAGCTCATTGAAGACACAGTTAGAGTCTTATAGATCATATATGTATCTGATGTCTCCACTGTTAGTGCCAAATAAGACCTAAAGCAGCAGAGAGGTTAAGTTGTTTCAGAACACCTTCATGCACACGCACACACACACACACAGACCACACACGGGGACACAGAGCAGGACACTGAGGACACGTTCAGGTGAGTTGGTGATACCTTCTTTCGCTGGAGTGCTTTGCGGAGACTGGGTGAGAGACAAAGACTGAGAGAGAGTGGAGCCGTCATCCGAGGTTAGCTCGTGATCGCCATCTGTGGGGGGAGGGAGTTGCAGGGGATGCAGGAGGAAGTGGTTGGACGACAGCGTGGTTGAGTTGGAAAAGAGGTTGGTGGGGGGAGGGAGGGGTGGAGTAGGGGGTTATGGGAGGATTTGGAGCGAGGGGTCAGAAAAGAGTGAGAGAGAAGGAGTTAAGGAGATTAGTGTTAGGACACATGTTAGAATCAGGCCATGCACAGCTGCTTTACACACACTGTTTAAGTGCCATCAGTCATCTGTCAGCTGGTTAGTGACCGCACTGATGTGCTGAGCCATGACAACCAACCAACAACATGTGACTGACGTGGACACAGGTGAGGAACCCAGAGTTTACACAGGGTCAAACTAGCCTGAGGAAGTAGTGTTCTACGACCAGGTCCTGTCCAGTTCACTTGGTTGATTTGGAGGGATTTTAAAGTACGAGAGAAAGAGAGAGAGAGAGAGAAAGAGAGAGAGAGAGAGAGAGAGAGAGAGAGCATTCTTATTTTTTGTTCTTTTTCAGTTTTTGTTCTAAATTAAGCTTGTGTTGCTGCCTGGTGTATTTCACTGACCCAGTTCTGCCTGAACACAGACTGTAAACTAAAACAGGACGTCAGCTTCCTGTTGGGAAACATCGTTGACTTCCAACGGTGGACATCCGAGTGGACAATGTGTAAAGATGATTATATGGAAAAAGCTGGTCTTTAATAGTGCTGAGTTGGCGTTTACCAAACACGTGACTGGTCGTCATTTGTTGCTGCGTTCGTCAAATCCTTCTCTGGTGTTTATGAATCAGTTGACAACACTCTCCATCTATGTGAGTTCTGTGTGTGCGTAGGTGAAGGAAGTGGGGAGGAGGAGTCATGTGACATCAAATCAACCCTCAACATTGAATAAACATTAGGGCAGGGGTATTAAACATCTGGCTCAGGGTCACTTTTGGCCCAGAAAGTCTTCACATCTGGCCCATAACCAGATGTCATTATAAATGATGTGATTTTGCTAGTAATGAAAATTATTCATTTTAAACAACAACTGTTTTTCTGAAATATCCGACTCACTTAATCTGGCCCATAACTAGACGTCATTATAAATATGATTTTGCTAGTAATGAAAATTATTCTGTTTTTCTGAAATATCCGACTCACTTCTTCAGAATGAGCCTTCAGTGTTATTCTTCATGATTTTCTTTTACTCTGTAAACAAAACTCTCATCTGAAATCCTAATAGATGTTAATGTCTGTCGTTTCAAAGGCACAGACACAAGGCTGAAACTTTGTCTCTTATTTTTTTTATACTGAATTTAGAACATTTTAATTAAGAACTAAAGAGGGATTTTCAGTTGCATTTAACTGATATTCTTGCATTAACATTGTAGATGTTAAAATCATCATTTACAGTAGGTAGCATTTACATAAAGTGGAGTGTGTGTGTCTGTGTGTGTGTGCCTGTGTGTGTGTGCCTGTGTGTGTGCCTGTGTGTGTGCCCGTGTGTGTGCCTGTGTCAGCTGAGGCATGTATCAGGACATTTCAGATGATCACCAGCTTGCATCCAGATTGGTCACCCGGGATTCATGGGGCTGTGGGGGCAAAGTGTCATAGCAACGGGCTGCACTCATGTGGCAGGTGTGAAGCCTTGCTGTCTGTGCAGACTGCCGTCTCAGTCATAGCAGCCTGGCGTTTGCTGGCAACATATATGAACGTATACCATGATCCAGTGAACAAGTATGGACCAGTGTTAATCTCACCGTACACACAAACACACTACACACTAATGTGTTTGGAGGCAGAACAACAGGTAAATAACTCTGTGTAGTCTGTGTGATGGTGGAGGCGGAGGTTCAGAGGGGCCGACAGGAATACCACCATGTGTGTCACAGCCAGGTGAGAACAGATGGAGGATGACTGTATAAAAACCCTCTACTGCAACATTATGGATGACAACCTGCATATAAATAAACAATGTGAGAGAAACCCTAGTGGCCAAGTGCGGTAGAATACCAGAGCGTCAACTGGGGACAATATTAGAGAGCAATGTTGATGAAGAACTGCCTTCACTACAACTTCACTGAGAAGATCTGTTAGTTAGGTTCAGTGTAAAGCTGTGCCAATCATCTAACTTCACTAGATTAGTCTGATAACCATAATTATTTCAATGCAAATAATTTGTCTTCAACTGTCCATGAGACATTGACAAGCAGAACAGCCAAATATACTTCCACTAGGTGGCAGCAAAAGGGTCTAAAAACTAAAAAAAAAAAAAAAAGAAACTCAGAGCTGTTAAAGGAGATATCCTGGTGTTCTGCAGATGCTACAAACCAATGTTCCACACTGAGGAAGTAACTCTTAAGTCAGCTGCAACTAGAAAATCATTATATTTGATTTCTTATACTTTTCTGACTTGTTTCTTTGGTGGTGCTCTGTGGGATTTTTCAAATGCCATTGGCTCAAAAAGTGTTAAAAGGGTATTTTTTTTAAATTGAATTAGCATCATAAATATACAACATAAAAATCTGACAGAAAAACTATCTCTTAGTCCAGATTGTAAAGAGAGAAGGTGAAAAAATGTCAAACATTAATTATTAATTTATTCCTGCAGAGCAACAGAATTTTACCATTCAAATTTTATAAATTACTTTTAATCCAGAACCACTATAGGGAACAGTGGGATTTAACCCCATGAATTTCCTGTATAGAAGACACTGATGAATCACTTGACAGTTTTGAAGTATTTCTGTACAGTGAATGTCATACCACTGAGGCCCAGTTGTCTCTTTTCCACGTTTTTATGGTACTCCTCCAGGTCTTTCTCTGACAGCTCACTGAAGGGGTTGGGAGGCAGGGGAGCCATCTGTTCCTCCGATGTGGGCACGTATGGCTGAGGGGGAGACGGGGGAGAGATGAGCACGGCAGCACACAATTACAGAAGTAAACGGTTATAATTAATATCAAGCCAATTAATTATTTGTATTTCTTTGTGTTAAATGTGATTAACCACATGCTAGCTGTGTCTTGATCACAACCATGGGATGATTTCTAATGTAAATGATGTGATGTGGTTGGGAAACATTGATTCATTCCTTAACCCCTCAAAAATATTTCATGCCAAACTGAGTGTTTCACTGCCCCCTGGCCACATCTGGACTTTTGGCCAGCCGGTCCAACTGGCACGAGGACCTAAATATTAAACTCGAGTTTACTTTGTGGCACCTTGAAGGGCTGCTTCAATTGTTATGATTTGAATTAAAACTACGTAATCAAACATCCAGAAAAATACGACAACTTTCCTGATTAACAGAGTCATAGTAATCTGCAAAACCAAAAAGATTTTTATTTACCAAACCTCTGAATAGGTAAAAACATGAAGCTGAAAAACATCTACACTGTTGTTTCTGTGTGTATTTACTGAATGACTGAATGAGACTGATGCAATTACAAACCCGAATCAAAATGTTAGATCTTTATAAATTGTAAGAACATTGTTACAGGTTAAAATCTTTAAAATTGACTGAATCTTACAATTAAATAAAAGTAACAAGCAATTCCTTTCTGCAATTTTTTTTACAAAATAATTGCATAAAAAATTGCAAGAAAATGTATATCTAGTCATGTGTTTGACGTCACATCTACTGTTTAACATATTCAAACCAGACTACCAGCCACACTCATGCAAGAATTGATCACAAAACAAAATCAAACCAATACTGGAGCTCATTGACTTAAACACAGAGAAGAAAAAACCGTGCGAAATCGACTAACAACAACAACACCACAATCGTTTCACTATCGTTTTAGTAGTGACGTCACGTGTGCAGTGTGTTTCGTGCTGAGCAGGCAACATTGTATAAATAATTATACAATAATACTACAGCACATACGAACAAAAAGTAAACATCCAAAAATATTTACCATAACTTTTATCTGCACATGATCCTTCTGGACAAGACACCAACCACAGCATTAATATGTAAAAATGACTGAAGGTGGCTCGATGACGAGCAATCACAATCACAAAATCCGTTCACTTGACTCCCTCTAGTGGTCAGACCAGTCATCACACTGGCTGTGCTCGTCAATTTTCCAAAATATCGAATTATATATATTTAAATATGTTTCAATACAATGTCACCCATATTATATAATGCAGAGATATATATTTAAATATGTTTCAATAGAATGTCACCCATATTATATAATGCAGAGACCTTAATTTATCCATAGTCCAGGGTCCGGATATATTAAATATATTTTAATATATTCATAATTTGTTAATTTACCACTACTATTTTATTTACCATTTGAACAATCACTTATTTTTCTAAATAAAAGTTCAATGTCAAAAATCACCAATTTAGAAAAGTCTTCTTGAGAAATTATTCTTGCCTTTCGTGGTTCATCAATAGGGATTCCAGCAAGGTGTTGAGAGCGTGGACCAGATGACGTCACATCAAACCGGTTCTGCTCTCTGATCTGTGGGACAGCAAAATGATGAGGTCACAACACAGGAAATGTTTCTTGTCAAACTTGTCATCATTTTCTTTACCACAGCTCCCCATTAAACGTAGAGATGACCGAGCCTCACCTTGTTCCTCTTCTCCAGAACCTCAGTGGGGTTTGTGTTGAGAGGGACAAACTGATTTGGGTCCTCGATTCTGATGGGAGTTCCTGTATCCTCTGCCTTCATCCACTGCAAAAGATGTGTAAAATAACAGTAAAGATATTATATATATAATTATATATATAAGATGGTGGGGTGTTTAATGTTTACAGAACAGGGAAAAGTTTTTAATCTTTTTAAAAACTTCCTGGTCCACTAATAGACAGATGTGACCGATTTCATGTAGTTCTCTGCTCTGCCAGTAGATGGAGATCGACTACAAGGGTCCAAAACCCACGCAGAGTCCAGTGAATACAAACTGAGGCTCTTTTTCAGTCTGGCCTAAAGCTGACTAATACGTGTTGACACTGAACTACTAGTCACACAAAAAAAATGCGTTCGTTTTCAAGAAAATTGTGACATAATTTCACTAGAAACATCGTTTTCAACAACAGCAAAGTTTCGTTTTAAATGTTTGGCAGTAATTACTCACTGGATCAGGCAGGGCCCACACTGGACGTGGCCCACAGGCCTTCAGCTTCAGACTCTAACTGCACATTAGCAAGGTTAAAATAAACAAAAGGTACGTGGACAAACTATAATTATCCAAATGTGGGCCGATCCAGACTCATCTGGAAGTAAACTTTTCAAATGTCAGGCTTTAGTGAGTCCCTCTAACCTACAGCCGACTGCTGTGACCTTACAGTCACAGCTCATTGTCAGTGTTACAATGAGGAGGTCAGGCCTCATCTGTATGAGTGTTGTGCTTACCGTGGTTGTCCGGCTGTTGTAGCGCTCTTCTCCACCCTCCACATTGACCTTGGTGTAGCTGTTGGGAGAGGTGAGCCAACGCGTCTTCTCCCTCTGCTGCCGCTGCTGTAAAAACTTATATGGCAGACGCGTGGACCCGGAGTCCATGTCTTCATCGAACATAAACGCCGTGACGGTGGCGGGGATCTCCACGTCACTTTTGTGTCGGGGCTTATCCCGGATGATGGGCTGCCTGTAGGTGTGACCTGTCCTGTAGCCCTACAGCGGAGAACCAGATCAGAAGTCATTCTGTGTTTTTATTTAAATAATATAGAGTTTGATAACGGGGGAGAATCTGACAGAAGAAGAAAACAAGAATATAACGTCATGACCCGACAAGAACTCATCAACTGAACCTCCCAGCGCTGGGATCCCGGGGCCCCCCCTACCCTGACAGCTAACCCCCCCGGCCTCCACCGACAGCCCTGGTACAGGGTGTTATATAAGCTGCTACACAGAGCTGCGGCTCAAAGAACGAGCATTTATTTTTCTGTGACATCTTCTTCCTGTGATTCCGGTGGAGCTGACAGCATCCCACCAAGTGAATGGAAAATCCGGACAGAAACAGAGCTGTGACTGCAGGGTCTCTGGCAGCACACAGGAAAAATCTGTGTGTCATTTCCTGTTTGACCCTTTCTTTGTTGCTCTTCTCCCTTCACCCCCCCTTCGCTCTTTGACACATCTTCCTCTCTCTCCCCATCCCCTCACATGGCTCCACTGTTTTTGTTTTATTTTCCACACTGACAGGCCTGGACTGCCAGCTACGTTTAACACCAACATTCAGGCCATCAGTCAAAGACTAGTAAAAAAAAAAGTATTTTAAAATACTTCAATTAAAAGGAGATTTATATTGTGGTTCAGCACTAAATTAATCACGGCCCTGAGCTGGTCCAGGGGCCAGTGGTTGGTGACCCCGATGGTAATTGACCTATGTGGACATGCTACATAAAATTCATTGATAATGTCACTGCTGGCTGATGATTGGTGCTAGCTTTCTGCAAAGATGAAGATTGTTTAATTAAAAGGTCAAGGGTCACGGACACGTTGGTAACAAACTGTGGATGTTAGTAATTTCACATCTACCATTAACACGTGTGTAACCATGTGTGCACACATCTACTGTTCATCATGAAGTCGACAGACAGGGTAAAGAACTGCTTCAGTGTTAATGTTCTGTCCACATCAAGGCTCCTGTTTAGTCAACATAATGTTTGCTGACTCACCAGGTTGTCCAGCATCCTCATCAGAGACTCAAACTCCAGCTCGCCAATCTTCCACTTGTACTGACATCCCATTCCGATATCTGCTGCCGAGCCAATATCAAAGACCCGGGATTTGAACTTCTCTGCTTCCAGTATGATCAGGTTATCCACGCTGCCAGCACATGAGATTGCATTCACCTGAACCCATAAAAACAGAGAGAGAATGAAGCACAGACAGAGCACATGGGTCACACACAGTCAGCAACACTTTCTATGACAAATGTAAATGAAAATAAAAAAAAATCTTTTGTAGAATCCCAGAACCAAATGGTCCACAGCCCAGTGGTTTAACGTACCTGGATTTCACAGGCGTACTGGGCGTTGTAGATGTGGTTAAAGGCTTCTTCAATTGTTTCTCCAAGAGCAACCACACCATGGTTCCTCAGCACCAGAACCTACACACACACACACACACACGGAACAGAGCCAGAAGATCAACTTGAATGTCACTCAACAAGTCGTTTTAAAACATTTTAATAAACATCACAGAGTTCTTGGAAACCAAGGGGTTTTGGAATTCCCTGAACTCCTGCCAAGATAAATTCTGTGGGCTGTTAATAATTATAGTTAAAGGACAATCAAAGTTACATGCTGACAGCAGGGTCTGCTGGTTGGACTGATGTCATATATCACACCTGCGTGATGACATCAGTCTTCTGTACTTCACTTCTTTACTGCTGTGTTCCAATACAATTCAAACGTTGTTTTCATTCCATCTGGTTTCTTAGAATATGACAGTGGTGCTGCTTGAGTTTTGTTTCTTGTTTTCTGACCTTCGCTGTCGGCCCCAGGGCCTTCTGCAGATCCCGGCGCTCCTCCTGGTCGTCCAGGCTGCCCTGGTAATTGTAGTAGGCGATGTCACCCAGGAGCAAGGACTCCTGGGAGATGGGGAGGATTCCACACTTCATAGATGAAACCTAAAGCATCAGAGCAGTGGAGAGAAGACCAACAGGTCACATGAGTTGGCTACAGCGCTGACACCTGGAGACAGCTGTTCACCTGAACCTCTGTAAAGTCTCTGATGACAAGCATATGTGTGCACTTCACACACCATTAACACTGATACACTTCACTCAAGTCAACCACTCCACAGCTTTTTGAAGAAAACACTCAAACAGGCTTACAGCTGCAGTGGCAGGAGTGTGCACGTGCACGATGCAGCGTATGTCGGGACGCATGGAGTAGATGGCAGCATGTGGGCTGAAACCAGCGGGGTCAATCCTCAGGTTGGTGGAGCCCTGCTCGATTACATTCCCAATGATGTTGACCTTGACCTGAGAAAAGAAAGCAGAGAGATATCGCGACTGGATTTTTTTTTTAAATGACAGTTTACACTTTCCATCAAAGATGGGAAGAATCCGCAAGTGAAAATGATTCCTGAAAATCGTGCTAGCTCTCAACTGATAATGACAACAAAAACATTTCCAAAAAGTTTTTTCTTCTCAATTCATAGTAATGCAGATATTACAAGAGGTAACCCCCCACCCCCGCCCTTAAATTATTAAGCTCCAGTCACATGATGACATTCTTTTTTTTTTCAGGAGAATTAATTAGAACATTAGCAGTCAAGCTAATTGGGTCAGAGACTGAACATGCCTCACCATGTCAACTCGATTACCATCCAGTTAGCAGTTATCAGATTACACAACGGGAGAGAAGCTAAACAGGAGGAAACAGAGAGAAAAAAAAAAACAAAACCCCAGAGGTTCTCGAAGAAGGAAAAGGACAGAGACTCTAAGACTGCAGCAGTTAAATATAGCAAGGTTCAAGATGAAAACACTGGTCTTGTTTTTGTACACTGCAAATAACATGTAAGTCAATTTTGAATTGTGTAAGAAACATTGAACATGTGTATGACAAACATGAGGATGTTGGATTCCTGCCTCCCAAGCATGAATAAATATGAATAAATAAAGACAACATCTCTGTAAGACAGCCATGCTGCTGGACCGGTACATCCAGGGCACGAGGCTCATGTATGGGTCGCGGGGATGACAGGTACCAAGAATCAGACTTAACAACCGCATAAAAATGTTTACTTTTAAATTATTCAAACTTGCCCCCGAGTAGGCCAGGGTAGCTGGATAAATGAGGGTGGAAGTGGTAAAGGGGTATATACATTCAAAGTATACAATGCTGCACCTGTAGTTGTACAAAATATTGGTATACATTTTATGTATATTGTAATTTATATTGACAGAAGTAGAAAAAGTATTCCAATAACTATAAAATAAAAATCCAATATAATTATATTTAACCAGATTCACACACAGACATTCACCTAAATAAAAAAGAGAAACACAACAACAACAACAACAACAACAACAAAATCCAATGTAAATGATGTGTGTTTATGCATGACCCTGATGACCTGTGATCAGTGACCTGCACAAACAGGTTTGGCAGCTTTTATTTGAAATAAAATTTCCCTTTATATGTTTGCCAAGATCTATGGAAAGTTAAACAGTAAAATGAGTCTGTCAACATCCTGCAGCAACACAGGTGTGTGTGTGTGTGTGTGTGTGAGTGTGTGAGTGTACCTCAGGTAATACATCAGACATGAGTTTATGGAAGTTATGGAGAGGATGATCTGCTGAACACTTTTAGCACATTTATAGGCCAAAGGATTGGAGAGAAACATACACCTGGAGTCACACAGCGATGTCACTTCCTGTTTAAAATCTTATGTCATTTTGTCACACACACATTAAAATAATAATTTAAAAACAAAAAGGAGACCGGATAAGTCTGGATTTCATTGAGGAAGTGATGAGGAAGACGTGAGACTAAAGTCAACGCTGCACGGCTGGAGCACCCACTCACTCAGAGGCAGTATTCAAATGTAATATAATATAACCTTAATATGACTTAGTAACCTTTGCATTAGAGTCTGTATTTTCACCATGATTGGACTTTGTTCTTTTTACGCTTGCATTGCCGACTAGTTGGAGAACAGGAGAGGACGATCACAGGTAGAAGCTAGCATGCTGTTGAGCCACAAAAACTCCAAGCTCCCCATATTTAACACAGGTATCCCACTTTCATTTTAAACACTGTTATCAGGCCGAACATCCACAGTTCAAAGAGGCTAACAACATTACCGGGACGTTCCTACGTCATTTTGAGCCACATTAAAATGGCCAGTAGTTTTATAACTGACCTTTGGACAGGTAGTGTTCAGTTTACTGTCTGTGCTGAGTTTAACCACTGACAGGACAGAGAACCTCTGACTGGGTGCAGTTTGTGGGAAATTATATTCACTTGTTATGAGAATAAAATGTTTACTTTTTGTAAAAAGCTGTCATTAATCAGAATCAATTAAAAAATAAAAATCCAACATAATACCACCAAAAAGTATGCATATACTTCAAATGGCTGTTTCTCCTACCAGGTTAGATGCAGATGCTTCGGCAAACGACAGTCCTTTGGGAATAATCAGGATGTGGTCCTGCTCTTTACTGACTCGGGCCTTAGTACAGAAAACATCAAGGAATGAATTCAAACTCATTTGAACATTTGATCAAAACTGTAAGAGCTCTCGCCGTCGCTGTGATGCTGCGGTTACTTACTGTGATGTAAGAGCGGGAAAATCGTGCCCAGCTGAACAGGTCAATCAGTCTGTACAGGCTGGCCAGTTTACAGCGTGTCACCTTTTCACCTTTAACCAGCGTGGTAGGTTCCACTCCATACAGGTCATTAATAGGAGTCACCATCCCCAGACCTACACAGAAAAGCAGACTTGGAGTCAAAATGTGATGCAAAAGATACAAGGAATTCTATCTGTATTTCTAGTACTATCTGTATTATACTGTGTATTTATTTGATATAGAATGGATTCATCTAGAAAGAGTTCCTCTGCAAACTAAAATAAATAGGCAGCGTTGTTTATCCAGAATTACTGCAGTTCCACATGTTCATTATCAACGTTTTTCAAAGAAGAGCTAAGCTAAACTATTACATGTTTCCTTTGACGTGTAATTTAGCATTAGCTTTGCATTCCAGCGCTCTGATTGGAAGCAGACTCCACACATGCAGAACCGCTAACGGATGGAAACCTGGAGAAAAACGCGAGGCTGTTCCTGAGTCTAAGGTTACATCTTCTAAGGGCATTTTCGCCCTTAAGAAAAGGCAAAATGTCAGAGCCTGGTTGCCGGGGCCAGTGGGAAGAGAGCGCCCACACTCACTGAGAGGGGAGGTGTTGAAACCAGCCACTGAGCTCGCCATGAAGAAGTCTGCAATCTGTCGGAGGGCAAGAAGGCCGGTGGGGTTGTTTCCTTTCAGTTGTTGCTCCTGGATCAGACTTTCCAGCTCGTCCTTGAAGGCCTGGGAAAAAGAAAAAACAAGGTTTGTAAAAACAACCTGAAAATAAAATGGACACACGTTTTTATAGCTGCAAATTTCTGGTGAGAAAACTGAAAGCATGAAACCATGGGAACATTCAAGATGACGAAAAGTACAGAAACGACCGACGGGAGAACGTGGAAGACGTGTTTATTCAGACGACACCCGCTGTGTGATTTGTGATGTGGTGGGTAAAAGTGAATAACGGCAGACTGAGAGCACAGCCAGCACTGACAGAGTCAGGACGGTGTCGACAACCCTACCGTCCATGACTATAGTCACCAGGAACAAACACAAACACACATGGGTTTTCATGAAAGAACTGGTACAAACAGGACCAGGTGATGTTTGTCACACGAAGCTCTGTTGAAAGTCACAGGCCACAGGTCACAGTGTGATCCACGGACAGTAATATGCAGGTGTTTACCAGCAATTGCACTGCCACAACTATACATCGTACATGGTACCTACTAATGTGCATCATCATGAATTATTTTCTATTTAGGAACAGAATAACAGAATAAAATACGGGAGCACATTCTGTAAAAACAAAACCAACAAAATGAAAATCTTTAACATGTCTATGAATAAATTGTTATTATTAGGAATGGCTCGATACAACTTTGTCCGATTCTGATACTGTAACCTGGAGTCTCTGCTGATACCGATTTCTCAAAGTTAGGTTAAGTATCTGATCAGATGGGATATGGTTGTTTTTTCAATGTTCGATACTGAATTTTTAACCAAAATGCTCTGATCATGAGTATTGGATCGAGCCATCTCTAAATTTTATTATTATAGTTTTTTTTTATTTATTCTTTTTACAACAGGCACAGTTGCACTGCTGCTTCTGGACTGCTTCCCGGACATCAATCAATTAGAAAATACCATTTCCTTAATGGAGTCTGTAACACAGAGCTACGAAATTAATATTGAAAGAAAAAAAAAATAACCAAGAGCTAAACAACCAGAGACAATAAAAACTGAGCAAGACAGATTGAAGGAGATGTGACCCGATGCTGCAGGAAACAAACAATATAATTCTATTAAAGCCAACAGAGTGTGTAACAAGCACAGAGCCACCACTGAACCAGCTGTAGATGCTGTGTATCTGTAAACAGAAACTCCTGTGCTGCCTGTGGATTAAATACTGTCCAAACAGCGTGTTGATTCAAACCACCTTCAACTGTTATGTGTAAATTCCTGCCCACACCTGAGCAAACTCTGTCTTCTGTTGTCAAGAGACTTATTTTATAGTACATACTGTACAATTCTGTTAGAAATGACGCAAATCCTCACCCTCTCACTAACATCACAGAACACAGTGACAACGCACTGTTCCCCCAACCAGCAGGTTCCACTGTACCACCGCGCGGACAGGCAGGGAGTGTTTGGTTGGCCTGCTCCTTATTGTTGCTGACTCATACACAGAGCTGTAGGTCAATTCTTCAACGAGTGAGTGCATGTTTCTTTTTCTTTTTTTTTTTCGGTCGGTGGTGAAACTAATGCTGCAAGGTTTTTTTTTAACAAACAACACAAAACATTTAGTTTCACCAAAAACAGCTGAAAAATGTGAAAATAATCCTCCATGAGCAATCAAAGGGAATGGTCCAACAGAACCATCACTCACAACAGCAGACATCTGTGTGTGTGTGTGTGTGTGTGTGTTCACATACAGATTACAACTGCATGGATTTGATTTCCATCTTTTAAAAAGATTAACCATGGGACCGAAGCAATAATATTTAGGCAAATAAAAATAAAAATCACATGGTGTTTCTTTTTAACAATCATAGACAGAAAGTCGGGCAACATTAAATCATTGATACAGTTTCAGCACAACAATCTGAGGTGGAACATTACTGATGTAACTCACGAAAAAAGAGGCGGGAAAAGTGCAGGAAAATATGTTCTGCTCAGAGAAATAAGACTAAGCCGTTTTTAGCTTTTTATTTTAAAATAAAGGCCAGACAACAGACAAGTCTTGTTATAGTTGTTAAATTGTTAAACGGCCACTTGTCAGCACACAGTTCTGTTTACGACGTCTTTGACCTGAAGCATTTCGTGGTTACATCACCATCTCACATTCGTTTATTATGAGAGTCTAATTCCATAATTCCAACGCACGGCGTTAAAACTAATTTTGCACGGGAACCAGTCGATGAGTGGACAAACTCGTTATCCTGCATTTCTAGTTAGTACCACATATCAGTCAAGTCAAACTAACCCCAAAAAAAAGCAATTTAATTTATAAGGTACAATTAACAAACTGCTTTTTCTGAAATCTTAGGAAAAAAAACTTTAATTGAACAGATCTGCAGAATGCCCCATAAATCACGAGAACTACATCAAAAGAAGCTGATGAGACTCTGACCACATTTTAACACCATCCAAACACTGGCTGATGAAAACGTTTATATTTTGCATCATTTGATTTTCGTCCTCCAGCGGCCAAGAGAAACTTCCTCATTCCTGTAAAACAGCTGTGGTCATCATCCTTTTGAACTTATTTTGTTTGTTGGAGAAGAGCTTGATCAAGTGTGTGTGTGTGTGTGTGTGTGTGTGTGTGTGTGCAGCTCAGATAGTTTCCTGATGTCTCCAGCATTGCCTCATAAACACATTTTGTTTGTCATCTTGTAAAGTGACCCTGCTACAGCTTCATCTGTCCCACAGCAGCAGAGCTCAATCAGCCAACACAGAGAAACAAAGCAGCAAACTTGACAGATTAGTTTGTTTATAGAAGTTGAATAAAATCCATCTTCAAATCTACTGCGAAGCAGGAGGCACTTGGTGGTAACTTCAGTCAGGGATTTCACTGTAGAGCTGCCTTATCAACCCCACGTCCCACCGAAGAGGAAGAGTCCAGTGTGTGGTTGGCTGAAAGCCCACCACTGCTATTGATTGCTTATCTATCCTCAGATTACCTGTGGTAATGTGGCCCCCTGCTGGGAACACGGTGTTTAGACAGCATCAACTTCCTGAGTCCACTGTTAGAGCCTCCACTTTGACCAACATTGACTATTGAAAATAATGCAAAATAATAACAAACCACACATGCGTTAGCGGAGGTTTCCACCTCAGGTCAGAGGATCGGCTCGTGTCAGTTCACCTTCACTGAGTCAGTCTACAGCTGATGAGCTGATCGACACAGTAGTGATCGACTGTAGACTGATTAATATTGTTGAGGACAATGACTTCACTTTGGTTTGGAACGTAACTCTCTGTATGTTCTACAATCCACCGCCAAGATGCACAATAATGACTGAACTCCACCAAGTCTATGAAGCTAGAGTTTGGAGTGAGACTATTGGAAATAGTTCTTGACATTTTTCTTTATTAGTACTGCCATCATTTGGATTAGTCACAAATTACAACAGATGTGAAACACAAACATTTAACTGCAGTTATCTGTTTTTCTTTTCCACCAATTTACCACCAATTAAAAAAATATCTTTTTCTTTCTCGTATTTAGGAATGGATAATCCACAGCTACAAATGAGGAATATGATTCATTTACAGCAGAAATATCTAGTTATAATTGCAATATGTTGACAAAATAGCAGTCTACAGTAAAATTAGAGTTTCTGTACATTTCTGTCCTCAGATTAAATATAATTTCTTCCTACCAGCAGTTATCTGTAGCCAAGTCAAAAAGCAGTAATAGAAAATAACAAAGCTACGTCATTTATCGAGTTTTGACGGCTGTGTATGGCACAACCTGCAGAACTTGCAGAAAATGTGGGTACTTTGGCAGAACCTGCAGAACTTGCAGAAAATGTGGGCTAAACCTGATGGCAGTGGAGGGACAGACACATGCAGAAAACGATCCACAAACAAAACTCACTCTCTTATAAATTTTAACAAGAATTCAGGTCAGTGCTTGGTGTCATGGAGGACTTCCTGCATGTAATGTATTTTGTATTAATTTATGTTAAAGAATTCCTATAAACACAACAGTTTCTCCAGTACATGTCAATGATAAGGATTCGTGTTTGTATGAAAGGCAGTGAAACATACGAAGAGGTTGAAACGTTCTGTAGCCGCTGCACCTTCACACGTGTTTTCTGCCATTGTCTGTTCAGGGCGTGGACACACCTTTGTTGGTGCACACATGCAGGCTACATCTGATACATTGTTTCATGTTTCATCTGGTTCAGTTGGTGTTAGCCCTACAGGACTAAACAAACGTCACACGCATTTACGACCTCGTAAATTACAATTGTTCATCAGGAAGTTTTGTGCTAAATATGTTCCACGATATGTTTTGTTTTATGTGTTTGATTTCAAATATTATATTTAATTGGCAGAATAAAATGTTCCTCTGTTGGTACTGCTTCGTGAGAAGGTCCAACTGTAGGTGATCCAAGTGTCTGTGTGTTGTTTTTGAAATAAAACGAAAGATCGGCGTAGGTGATCATTAACCTTCTCAACAAACAGTTGTTTCCCAATCTGTGGATGAAACCAAGCAGTCCACAGCTGCCTGGAGTCCACACCACTGCGGTCACAGCAGAGTTGTGGACATGGCAGTTTATTTTCTGTGCTTATAGACAGATTACGTTAAGAGGCACAGAGATAAAAACAGACATGACAGAAGATGAATTCGCCCGTGTATTAATGTACAGTCTGTGACACGTGCTCTGAGTTGTTATTGAAGTTGAATACGAGTGAATCACTGCTCCGAGGACAAGTGTCCTGATAAACCATCTGTAGGCCACAGGCTACCGGCTGGTACTGGGAACTAAAGACGTTTGGCCCCAGTTCAAAACCACATTAAATATGAATTACATACTTGACACAGTGTGACAGTGGGTAAAGCAAGGGCAGAACAACAAGCATGTTAGGTCAACGAATCATTTTTCAATTTTCTATATTAATATATATATATTAATAATATATTAACAGAGCTAGTGTCCCATTAGATTGCATTCCTAGGTCTGTTCCTGTAAGTCAAAGACTTGATCAGATTCTCAGGATCAGTATTGGTTTAAGGTTGGTCAAAATTTCCAGATTAGCCCTTTGTATTTTTTTTCCTCATTTTTAAAAACACTGCTGCAGTAACAGCAGCCCGTGCCATTTGTTTGCACTACATACTTTAACAAAGCTTTTAAAAACAATGCTGCTGCGTCATGTGTCGTGTGTGTAAACAGTACTTTGGACAAGAGTGACATTCCGTTATTCCAGTGCTGTTATCACTGCCTGGAAACGAGAAGTCAAGCAGCCATCTGCAGCTTGTGCAATTCTAATGTCTCTAAGGACGGCAGCCACACTAGAAATTTCAACACACCAAGTGATGACAATGTACACTGTTGCACAAGAAATATTCTAGTCAAATCATTATTATTTTGATGAAAAGTTATTTTTACATATATTTGGTTTACATTGTATATTTTTTTAAATGTCATCCAAAAAGTTCCAGGTCACAAACACAGGCTAACAGGCAGACAGGTACCAAACAGGAAGTGAGCCGGTGTGAAACAACTTTCTCATACAACTGCCTGTGCTTTAATTCAGCTAGCCAAGTGAGGACAAACTGAAGCCAGCTGTGCCAGACTGACACACCGCAAAACATACCAGTGATGGTTGGACCCAGACGGCAGGGAGGACTTGGCAGAGTCTGCAGTCTGTGTTGAGAACGGTCCTTAGAGCTGCTCCTTCATTTAGTCCCCTCTAACTGCACCGGTCGGAGCTAATCACTCGCACAGACGAGGACAGGCTAACGCACGTATGCACGGAGACACACCGTATCAAGTGAAAACCTGCATCAGCAGCACTGTGCTCCTGCCCTTCCAGACATCTGGGACAAAACATTGTGTGCCAAGAAAACCACAGTGGGCATGTGCAGAATGTGGATCACATTTAAAACTAAAAAAAGAAAAGGGCCAAACCACAGAGCAACCACTGCCTAGTATCAATCACAGACAGAAACACATCCAGACTTGGAATACTGTACATTTGAGGAACATTCATTCATAATGTCCGCTGCCTTGGCAGAATCCAACATCCTTTGACTGTAACTGTCAACTTCACAGTATTCCATACAGTGCTTTAAAACACACTGTTTTATTTTTTAAAAATAAAGTGTTTGGAAGGACGTTTTAAATTGTTTGCTGAAATTTTACCTCAGCTTACAAAGTTGTTTACTTCAGCAGAATCTAAACCAGCAACAGAATGACTGGTGTGGAGGGCACAGAATCTGAGCCAGGGCGTGGTAGCTGGTGGTTATATTAGGGTGTTAGAGGGCAGCTGCCTCTGGGGATTCTGTGGTCAGTGTCACAACATCAACACGGGCAGAAAAACACAGCAGTTCATGTGATGCACTCACTGTTGTGGTTTTTTTTTTTTAAGTAATCGCTCACTTGCAGAATAATAACTGATGAAAAAGGAAAGTGGGAACCAACTCCACTAACTCAGTCAGTAAGGTGAAAAGTTCACCAAGTGTTTAGTGGGTTAGAATTCAACTCTAACTGAACTTCACACCAACGCTCCAGTTATAGTGGACATATATCATACTATTGATTTTTTCTCTTATAACCTTAATAATGATGTACTTCCTGTTCTGTAGTGACTGTGTAGTGAAGACGGCGTAATGATATGGTCAGACTGACATGAATAGTCAGGTGGGTTTTTAAAAAGGTATAATATAACACAAATACACAGCTAGTATCTGAGATACAGTGCCTGTATATATGGGATTGCTCGATAAAACTTTTTCAGGTCCGATACTGAAACTTGGAGTATCTGCTGATTCTGATATCAATTTAATACTATTTTCTTTCCTCCAGTATGCTGCATTAAAACTATTTTCTTTCCTCCAGTATGCTGCAGCCTTCTGTTGCTAAGGTGAAATTGCTGCTGTTCACTGCATGTTGCACAAAATTACGTTGCATATTTGGGTTTAGAGTATAGGATCGAGACATATGGTGGCTAAAAAGTACCAACACAAACAACTTTCCTCATGAAAGTTCATGTTCAATGTTCTATAGATATTTAGCTTATCAGCTCCTTGAGCTGACTAATCAATATTGTTGTCAATCGGCCTATTGACTAACACATCATGGTCCTGGTGAATTAGTCCCACTCACACACCTTTGAAACTATAATGTGATAAATAAGAGAAAGGAAAACTTACAGGACTCTGGAGTATCTGTGTAACACGTTTCTTCTGTTCCAGAACATTGAAGTCCTGTCGAAGGTCAGGTGACATGTTCCTGTTCCTTATGTACTCAGGATCATTAACATTGACCCGGTCAAAGTAGCGCTCCTTGGTGCTTCCTCCAGGTGAAAAGGGAGGGGTCACCGCCACCCCCTGATGGTTGTTTGCACTCATGGCGGTTTGTCCTCACGTGATCACTCTCCGTTTGCTGCTCTAATTATCACCTAAGAAAAACAAATCCAGAGAGGCAGGCAGTCAGTTTGAAGGTCATGTCACTGGAGGAAAAACCCCAATAAAACTCTTCAATATTTATATGCTAATAAACAGCACAAAATGTTTACAAAGGAGTCAAAGGATATTTTAATGTACCTATCAATGACGCAGCTGTAATATAAACTACAAGGCCTCAGTGCTCCGAGGCCAGAAAGACTCTCCTGTGATCAAGGTCAACAACAAAGGTCAGTAGGTGAAACCATCACAGTTGGATCGATTGAATGACTGGCTCCTGCAGTATCCCAGCTTCAGAGTTCCTTCCACAGACACTTGTCACAGTCACACAATGGCATAAACTTGGCCACTGTGACCAAACAGAACAGGGCGGAGAAGCTTGACAGGAGCGGTAACAAACGTTTTCTTTTCAGGACAGGCTGTAGACATGTGTTACAGTAAATATGTAATAAACTCCTTGTTCTTACGCCAAGGAGTGCAGCCAGTACCAAGAGAAAGCAAATAAATGTATCAATATGTCCATGCTAAAGCTTGTGTAATGGCACAATCAGTGATTAAAGACATCTTTGAACAAAGTAACCTTGTATTACAAAGTAAGGCAGATAAATATTCACTTCTTGTTTTGCCACTGGTATAAGGTTTCCAAAGTTTTTTTAAAATCTTTTAAAAACAAACAGCAAACTCATGACACGCACAGTTCTTTAAATGAAGAAAATCTCCAGGACAATAAATATCATATTGTACCGGATCATGTGTAGTGGAGTGGAAGCAGGGGACAATAGGCTTGTGGTGTATTAGTAGAGGTGGGACTTATGGGATTTCTACCAGATGGTGTCTCTTTAAGGAATCAAAGAGGAGCAAAGACAGCATAAAAGAATTCTAGAAAGGTCTCCTGCTGGTCTGAGCAGACATGACTGCCAATCACTGACCTCCTGCTGCCTTTGAACTGTTTGAGCCCTTTGCATTGTGTTGGCCAGCAAAGTTTCCGAGGTCAGACGGTGTGATGTATGCAGCTAAGCTACACATTGACTTCAAATGCCACTAGTAGAAGATGGCCAAGACTAGTGGAGTTCTACAAACCAGAGGACATCTTGGAAACAAACAAACATAGAACATGTTTAGAGGCCCTAAATGAATCCTCACCTTGGATTGGCTGAAGTTTAAATGCCTCAACTTAAACATTCATTTCTTCATTGAATATTTGAAATTCATGATGACATCATGAGGTTTCACAGTAACTGACCTGTAACACGGCTGTGAAATGTTCAGACCACAGTTTTGCAACTAACTAACTTTAGGACACACCGTTGACTTCTTCTACAGACTTCTTGTAAAGTTCTTGAATACACTGGTAACCCTGGTCCTGACTGGACATATAAATGACGGGGTAGACCACAAAACCTTCCTGTTGCCGACCTGTTCTTCATTCCAGAGCTGTGTTTTGTTTTGATGAGATGAACAAACCCCCCAAAAAATGCTCTTTATTTGAAGACAGATGGACAGCACAGAATTATGTAACATGATATTGAACCAATCCCCGTGCTTCACCGCACTACTTTGCCAACAGAGTAGCAACCAGAGACCAAACTGCAATCCACCAGATAATTTTGCTGTAAAAAAAAAAAAACATGATTAAAATGTCCTTTTTTGGCATTTATTTGCTGATCAATGCAGAGCTATTGTTTTATTCTTAATGTATTTCTAAGTATTCAAGGCTTAAATGACTGGCATGAAATAATAGAAAAGGAAAACTTTACAGCAGTTGCAAGTGAAAGCTGAAGCTCATGCCTGAAATTTTCTGAATGAATGAAATTGTGCGTAGCCAGCTTTAGTTGCACAAAAATAAAGTCACACACGCGCTTTCAATCTCCAGGCCACGCCTTTCAGTTTAATATCCAACCGGAGCTTTGTCAGAGAACACATAACTTTAGCAGCCCCCACCATGTGTCCCCATCAACTCTGTCCTGGCCAATTTATCATACACTCTTCTCATGCAGCCATGAAAAGAAAGGTCAACGGTGGGAAGGGTTAAAAGGTTGATTTAAATGGTATAAGACACATTTTACTACACCGACCGGAGGACTCAACTGAGTGCAGTGACTGCATGGAAAATGTCAGCACCAGTTGCCCTTCAGAGTTGTGCTTTAAAAGGAGAGTGCTGCTGTGTTGTCATTGAGTTTAGAACCATTATTCTGTGTCAGATAATGAATTCACGGTGCATTCAGTGGAGATAATCGACTGGGAATATTGCTTAAGGCAAGGTGGGCCTAACCTCCTAACCTTTGACCTCCCTCCCCTCATTTCTCCCAGCTCTGCAGACAGGAGCCAGTTTTCAACGTGGGGAAGCTGTCAGTGAAAACTTTTTCCTCAATAAACACATTTTTTTAGAGAGCACCGTAAAACCACAATCACAGCAATAAACCAATAGGTCTTTAACGTGGTTTGGGTCCCTGGGGGTTCCTGACGAGGACTTTAAGAGAATCATTGATGATTAAATAAAATACAATATACTTTTCTTTACAATTAGAGAACTGGTTTAATGACATTATTTCTTTCTTAAATGTTCCATTTTTACATTTGTTATCATCTTGTCAGAAATGACAAGAATATGTCAGGTCCTTTACCTTATCATCACAGGATGGACACACTAAATGGACATCAGCTCAGGAGACAACCAGCTTTCCCTCTTCTCCTGACTGATCCGGAAAACCATGTTATGCTCATGCACCTGTTGCTGCATTAACTCCTGTATGATTCCTCATCAGCCTACGTTTCTTTCACTTACAAAGTGTTTTCATCAGAACAAGCAAACATTTCAAAACAGGCCAAACAAAAAAGGTCATTCATGCTAATTAAGACAGCAAATGAATGACGGCACCTGAGGAGCCACCCACCAACCTGCGACAGCCAACCCTTCAAACACATACTTGACCTTAGGAAGTTGCAAAGTGTGGACGCTTGAATCTCTATAAACCGCCTTCCCTAAAAATAGGCAAACATCTTTTTAGGTTGTATTTCAACCACCATCACCAACAATACCAGGAAAGAATGTGTATGAGGTCTAATTATATCCACATAAATACACATGCACACACCGTCACTGGCAGCCTGAGCACACATGCACAAATCCAGTGTACAGCCTGAGAGAGCGACTCAGGCACAAACACCAGGAGTGGTTGTGTACGTGTCCAAACATGACTGCATGACAGATCTAAGAGTGAAATAGGAGCCAAATGCTTAGCAGATTACAGATGATCCAGTGGCTTTACTGTCAGACTGGAAAAGACTTATTCTCCTGGGGCTCAGCAAATTTCCAAAGACTACGGTTGGTCTGTTACTGACTCGTAGAATCATCTGATTAAGGTCTCTGGGGTTTGTTGTGTAGCTCTGTGTCAGAGCAGCAGCTGGTTCCTGTACAGGTTACAGCAAAAAAACAAACAAAAAAACCCTTATCTGAACATACCTCTCACTGCACACTGCAGCTTCTACTCCTGGATCTCACACATATCTGGCCCTACACACAGCCGATAGAGTTGTGTACATTAGAGATAATAGCCACAGCTAATCTTCTGCGCAGCTCACACACGGCACTGTTACTGCCGAGGGTGTTTACAGGGCAAGAGTGTGTGTGAGTGAGTGTGTGTGCTTGCGGTGGACAACTCACTCATGGAATTCCCCAAAGAGAACATCCCAATTTTCAGGATTACAGTCCATTGTTACATTTTTTAAAAATGCGGAAATTGATTAAAAAATCTTTTTCAATAAATAAGAATCTGTCTTCTGAAATGAAGAAAAAATATCTCAATTAAACCTTATCATGAGAATCAAATTTCCAAAAGATGCTCTGCAGTAAAGAAGCAACATAAACACAAGACATACAAAATATAAAAATAATGAAGCAATGTCCAACCAACCTGGTGTTGTATCCTCCTTGGTCAGTGAATGAGAGAGAGAACGCAGTAGTAGTAGGTAAATGAGGAAGAACACATGTCTCTGTTACTCTGTAGGTCTGCCCACTGCTGTCCCAAATTCCAACTGTGACTCTCAGAGAGGAGCCGGGGAAAACAAGGCAGTCAGAGCGCAGGACACCAAAGAAACACAATGAGAGTCAGGCAGTAATCACAGAGAACCAGTCCATCTACTTGTTTGTCCAGATTCTCCAGGAGACACTGGATTCCTTCGTGCTTCTTTTCTTGACTGCTCCAGTGTTCAACGGCGAGAGAAGTAGCAACAGCTGTGAGTGTATACAGTTTGCAAGGAAGTGTGTGTATTTGTGTGCTGTGTGAGAGAGCGCTCACACCGAATGACAGTGTGTGTGTGTGTGTGTGTGTGTGTGTGTGTTGTTGAGAAGCTAAAGGGACCACGTGACACAGCCTTAATCCCCCGCCCCTTAGCTAGGAGCACACACACACACGCACACAGAGACACAGGCTGCTGGACCAATCAGAGGAAAGGCTCACACACTAATCCCTCCTCCTCCCTGCCTATTCCTTCCCTCGTTCCCTCTCTTTTTCACTCTACCTTTTGGCTCATTCCCATTAGCTCCTCTCATTCATTCACTTTCTACTCACTCTCTCCCACATTCCACAGTCCTCTCTTCTCATTTTATGTTTCTGGTCCACACCCCCCTTGCCTTGCTGGTATCCCCTCAGGGTGACTGTAGTAAAGGTCAGTGCTTATTAGTTTGGCTGGCAGCCATGTAACTGCATCCAGTCTGTCCACGCAGCCAGAGTTCAGCCACTCAGAATGAGAGCTGTCATGCTCTGGGATGAACTCTAATATCACATGCTCTCAATACCAGACGACACTGATGGAATGAGTTTCAAATCGAAATGTCATAATTCAACGGTCAGCCTCACTCCTGCTGGGCCGTCACTGAGTCAATGAAACCCATAATAAACAACCAACAAACGGGTTAGAACTAACTAAAAATTAGGAAAGGAAGACAGATTTTAAAAAGAGGGAACACTAAAAATGCTATGGTTTTACAGCTTATCAACCAGGCTTACAACAACACAACGTCATGCTAACACAAAAGTGGACGATGGACAGATGGCCTCATCAAATCTGTGTAATGTATTTAGGTGGTTTGATAATGTCTTAAAAAAATACTTTTTTTCCTTCAGTAACAATTCTTTGCCACCAGAAATGCAACATTAGCTACTTTGTTTTTGGTAGCATAAACATAATAGAACAGCAACATTTTTAAACATTTCCCACAAACTGCAACTCACAGGTTCTCTCTTCATTTCAACAACTTTCAAATAAAACCTTGTGCAATCGGTATAATCTGCATCTATCAACTGAGCGCTGAAACGGGTTGCGTTACTTGTCTAAACGTTGTAAAACATGTACTGGATGACGGTGTTTCAAATGCTGTTCTGAAGGAGTTTGTGGCTGATACTGTATGTTAACTTCACCTTGTGAGTGTGGCTTCCTCTCCTGATCTCAACCTCAGGTACAAAATGGTTGGCTATAAAACCAGGAGAATGTGTGCTGACTGCCTGTTCAGGTTCAGTCACACAGTCATTAAACTGTCTAGATAAATATTAACATTCAAACCGTGTATTAAAAGTGTTAACAATTAACCTTTAATTTATACGAGATTATACACTGGTTTTAACTGACGAGGACTTTAAGCCAGAAAGCACAGATCAGTTCGGTTTTAATCGACATAAAGAACGTTAACACACCTGTGTGTGATCTGCACTGGAGTGAAGTTGTTCAAAGTGAAACTTTAACATGAAGTGACTTTCAAAACGAAAGCTCTTTTTTACCCTAGAGCTAAAGCTTTGAAACAGTAGTGAATGTTTTCTTGTTCTGTTATGATGTTGATGTGTTACACCTGTTCAGGCAGGTAGTGCAATCATGTCATGAGAATACAGGACAAGAATGTTTGGTTTAGATACTGACTTGCCTACAGAACCAGACGACTTCATCTTTATCAGCATATGCTGTGTGTATATGATAACAGGTAGAATGAACAGTTAGTGTGCAGCCTAAAGCTGTACAACAGGAACCCAGGCATATGTACACACTAGTGGCCAAAGGTTAGGAAGCAAAACGGTACCAGAAACAGATTATAGATAAACACTGCAATTAAATAAATGTGATTTTTATATAAACGCAGTCACAAACAAACGCACTCTGAATTGACCTAATGCTGCTGGAGATGTTAAAAATGGAGAAGGCAGTGGAAAAGTAACACCACATGTATCTGGAGGAAATGATAGCCAGAGGAACGATCCTGAAAATGATCAAATCTGTGGAATCACTATATCCATACTCACATGAGTATTGATTGAGTATCGATTACTCTCATAAAGTATTGATACGATTTGATAAATTACAAAAAAAAAAAACCCACAGATGTCACTTCTATATCTTTTAGGGTAATTTATTACGTACGTGCTTTTCTGCTGCAACTTCCCCGAATATGTTGATAAATTGCCAAGAAAAATCACCAGTCTCTGGTTTGGAGGTCACTGATGTTACAGTGTATGTTAAGGACTATGTCTTCTTTACTTCTGAAGCCTAAAGGAAACATCACGTCACCGGGTGTAAACACACACATACACACACACACACACACACAGAGAGACATGCTGCACACGCCCACTGAACATAAAACTGCCACTCCACGGCTCGTCTGCCTCTTAACAGCCGTCTCGTTTTATGCCTGCATGGAAGTGATTCTTTGTGGCCACTAATCCGTGTTTGACAACAGCTAATGTTTAACACAGTCAGGCGCATCCAGGTTGACTTCCTAAGTCTCTCACTGGGAATTATGCTGCCACAGACAAAAATCAAGTCAAGTGTGACCAAGAAAGTCTGCCTTGGCTTCAAGATTAAGGTGGAAAAAAAGGAAAAGAAAACCAGCAGGGTTGTGTGTGTGTGTGTGTGTGTGTGTATATATCTGCATGTTGTGTATGTATTTTAAGAAGTTATTATTACTCCATTTCCTCTGCTAGAGCAGATGAAACAACACCTAGGGGCACTGAAGGGAAGTTGCCACCCAGTTGTGACCTGGGTCAGATGTGCTATTTCAGGTCATGTTGAACTTAGCTTAAAGAACGTATTCATAATAATCACTGTGTTTTTATGGTGGGAATTTAGGTTCTGGTGGAAAAGAGACTTCCTCTGTTCAAAGAGGTTTATTCAGGATTTCATAAGAAAATATAGTTATTCCTTTTAACAATAACCAGGGACAATGTTCACTAATCTTTACAAACATCAGATGCAAAGTAACTGCATCTGGTGTTGCTTCAGACTTACAGTGAAAATTGCATTAGGTCGTGCCGTAGAAAGAGAACTCCGATGTAATACATTTTAGACAATATAAGACAGGGGTCATCTACGAATAGGCTCCAATCCTCATGTTTGAGCATAGACACACCAACCTGAAATGCTATGACGTTAGCAGTCCTTAACTTCTTGTGGGAATTGCATTGTGAATGCAGTATAAAGCATTCCACAGAAGGTTTAGTATTAACATTTTTATAAAGTTCTTTACGTTTCCTCTGTGTTATATCAAAGAGTAAAGGGTTAAAAGACAGGGGATACAGAGGGGTGCACATTTTCCTGGACTTGTTAATAAATGTGTGATGTCTGTTTATATTGACTGGGCTGCTTACAGGTTTACAGGTGGTACACCACATCCTCTCTAAATGGGAACAGACAATACCTGTGCAGCATGGTCACACCCACCGCAATCCCACATATCAGATAACATCATGTGCAAACACTTGCATACACCTTTTGACAATCCCTGCTCACAGCAGAATCCGCCCCACACCTTCAGTAAACATGAGCGAAAAACAATAACGAGAAACATGGCCTCAAAAAAAGAAGAACTGACCTGAAGTTCAGTATTGGCTGGACGGAGAATCCTGGTCTGTTGTCATTTAGTAGTGCTTCGCAAGTTCTTCACTTACTAAGGTTGTATGGTTTTGAGTGAATAAGAAGTTCTTTGACTCGGGATCAGCTGCTCTACATGGGAACGCTGATTTGAAAGCAAATGCACTGAGACTCACGCAAAAGTGTAGGAGACAAAAAGGCTCTTTGTAGCTGTGAGTCCAAGGCCAATGCTCCTGAAATGAAGCTGTGAAGGGGAGATCACTCACTTTCATCTGAGAGCTACTCTACGTGTAACTTAAAAGCTGCCGCTGATCTTCACGCACAGCGAATGTGAGACGTCACCGACTTCACACAGGTTCTACTACTTCAATTAACACGGAATGACGCACCTGACAAGGGCCAGAGTAATGCAGTAATATTCAACAAGTAACACAAACTGTTGACAATTACTGTCATCAGTCCTAATGAAAGGAAATTGGTAAAACACTTAAAAATACTTTACATATTTGGTCAATTTTAATCATTTTTTAAAAAAGTCACAACAGCTGGTGAAATAAAGCCAAAACTAGTCAATGGCAGCTGACCACTCTTGCTGTTGTACACTGCTGTAAGCAGCTCTCACCAGCAGGACAAAGCAAGGCAGCAGTCGAAACCAAAGAGTTGAACCTGGAAGAGTGAACCAGTGATAACCACTGGTATATAAAATATATTTTACTGCAAAAAAAAAAAAAAATCATTTAACATCCAACCTCTATGACTGTGGCCTTTGGTGGCCTCGATGCAGAGGTTATTATCGGTTATTATCTACCTTTAAGACAATAATAAAAATGTTCAAACACTGAGCACAAACAGTTTCAAGAATCGTGGACATGTTTTGTGTATTTTAGTGAAACAATCATATTTGTTCAGAATGTGTTCTCGTTTGAATACTTATGTCACTGTTTGGGGAGAAATGGTGACCACCCTGGAGCACACGTTACACTACAGCCTGCAGTTGCTTAGATGACTCACAGAAAACAGTTACAACAACTATTACAACACAGTGTTCACGCAGTACTGTCAGCAGGATGAGTTTGTTTACTTTTTTCACAATAGAGCAGCTTGTATATGGAAACACCTTAGGGGTTTCACAACAACATGCACATAAATCCACTGCATAGGCTGAATATAAGTCTTTTTGACAGTAGATGCACAGTATGCACGCACACACAACTGTTGCTTATCACCTATCAATTACACCAGTAAATAATAGACACTGACAACCGTTGCATCAACTAACCAAACAACAACAATCAACTTTTGTTAGTTGCTGCTGTAACCTGCTGCTCCACGACATCACTGCCTGGCAGTTCTTTACCATTCGAAGTTACCCAGCTCAGCTTTAGAGACTAGTGTGCTGAATTGGCTTCAGGGTGAAATACCTGACGTGTTATCTCGTATCATCTCACAGCTCTGGCTGACACAAACACTGA